AGGTCAGACTTGCCGTTATTGAAGGTCGATAGTTTCACACTAACATGTATTTAATACTGTTTTTTCACATGTGGGTGTTCCTATTGCACAAAATGTTCTCACTAAACCTGGGTGATTTTTCATGCTAGCCCACCCACAACGCCTGCAGTAGAATGAGATTTCATGCCTCTATTAGATATCTCTAAGCGGTGAAGTGTCCGGAACTGAGGGGAGAGAGAGATGAGATGGGTAATGACATGCAACAGACTCCCGGTTGAATATGAACCGTTGTGGTTCACAGTTAGCACTTTACGCCACCAGAGCAGTGTATGAGAGTGTAATAATAGCTCAAAATATAGCTTTTAGAATTTTTTACACAAAAAAAAATATTTCAATAATTATTTGACAATACCAGTCCAACATTTTGATATATCATCAGCACAAGTCCAATTATGACTACTTACTAGTGATACACTAGCATGAAATAATGTATGCAGCGAGAGACAGAGATCCTTTGGTTTGTGAGTTGCAGTTGAATTTCTGAGCACTAAAAATAATACTCACTGAATGCCAAACACTCTAACATCAAAATGTTCAGATCCTGTCATGCCTTAATGTGCCTAAATTTGTGTGGGCTGCTTCCCTAAATAAAAGGTTTCATATTATAACGAGAAATTTCTGTTCATTTTCAGATGGTTTGCTGAAATGTAAAATGTAATGGCATCCCTAGAGAGTTCCTGACACAAGTGTATAAATTGTCATCTCACCGCTGAAGTCTCTTTGGTGCTGTTACAGGATTGGCTGGGATTTGAGACACGTCGACATGACTGACCGGCCCCCTTCACTGCCCATGAATTTGCGAAGTCGTAACTGTCCTCTGTTAGGAATCCTAAAAACACACAGAAACACACACACAAGTTGAAAGATTTCTCCTTAATCTCATCCTACCAACACTGTTTCTCTTGCTTTCTTTTACCCTTTGTTATCTTTTCCTGTACTGACTGCTAGTCTTCCTGTTGCTGAGTGCTGGTGACTCAAATCATTTCCTAGATTCCAGTAATAATAAACTTAGTTTTGTTCTTAGTTTCACTCTCTGGTATTCACATATTCCCTATATGCACAGTTACAGACTTTTGACTCTACCCATTTCCCTGCATGATCTTACCTTCTTGAGCAGTATATTCATCAGCTGATACAGAGTTGAAGTTGCCACAGAGGCCACAGGTGCGGTTGGCATGGTGTTTGGTCATTGTCAAGGCGATATTAGCTGCATTATCAATGGTAACAGTGAAGCCAAACTCCTCGCTCCAGAGTTTATATGAGCCAAGCTCTGAGCCCACAAACACAGAGTGAGATGCATAGGGCAGAGACAGTCTAAAATGGAGACACACATAAAATATTTGGTGTTTTTTTCTGCAGTAAGTCAACATATATACACATATAATTGATTGATTGATTGATTTTTGCATGAGAACTTAAATTTCTCAACCTTCTTTCTCCTTGCGAGAGCCGTCCATCTGTAGACAGGTGCAGCTCAAAGGCGTCCCCCAGAAACAAAGTGACTCCAGTTCTTTTGCCATTGACAAAATCGCCTGCAGATTAAACACTTTATTTAAGTACATACACTGTTTGAGAACTACGCACAGGACACTGAGCTACTGGATGAGCATCAAATGCCTTTAAAATTAAAATCTGTTTGTTTCTTTATTGAACTGTGTGAGCGTGACTCACCCAGCAGTGTGAAGGAGCGATGGTTGCAGTCTCCAGCCAGAAGGTAGCTGCAGTCTCCGGGGAACTCATATAAAACCCCATCAAACGTGTGAACATGGTGTCGTCCGAACAGACTGCATCGCCCTGTCATACCTGCCACGCAAGCTGGAGACATGCAGAACACACCAATATGCAATTTACTGAAGAAGGAGGAAATATTGAACATATTAATTAAGTGACCAAATGATCTGATGTAATACTCACCTGTCAGATGCAGGATAACCCATATTTCTTGCAAATACCTCTTCAAACACACCTGAAATACATATGAATATGCTTTTCATTATCATCACCATTTCAATATCACAATACTCCTTGTACTGTGTTTTTAAAAAAAAGCTTTCTTCAGTTATCCAAAAGTCCAGTAAGTCCTACCTCCATGGCTCCAGACCCAGTTAATCCACAGAGATGCAAAGAAAAGGTTAACACAATCCAAAATCAGAGAATCCAAATGTTTTACTTTTAGACCTCACACAGTCAAGACATAATGACGTGACAGTGACAGTGTGATGGTCTGTGTCAAACAAGCAACCTGAGAAGAGGGTCATATACTTTGTCGCACATACAGACCCTCAACCACCCTGGAAGCTCTACTTTATAGCAAAGAACAGACCCCCGCCCAGTCATCATTGAGATCCCTCCCCTTGCCAGGTTATGTCAAAAAGAGCAGAATATCATTCTGTCCACAACTCTGTGTCTGTAGACTGACACCATCAAACACACTTAGCAGGACAATACCAGGATATGCTCACTGATCGCCTGGCTGAGTGATTAGTCTACACATGCGTAGCTGTATCGGCGCCAACCCAAACAATTCTTGTGGAAAACACACTTACTGGAGATATCTCACGCAATCACCCTGCTTTGGTGGTGCCAAATTCACAAACACATGACTAAGCTGCGCCAAAATTACACACACTCACACTGGGAACATGTACGGTTCAGCACTCTCAGGTGCAAACTTCACCGATCATCTGACTAAAAGACAAAGACAGACAAACATTCACAATCAGTGTCACACTCCCAAATATAAACAAGTCAACCTTTTATATCTGTAACCACTAAAACCTCTGTTTTGTGAGTCTAAATCTATTCCTATCCAATTCTAGTAACACTTCACAACAGTGTGCTCTGTTTTAAGGTTGATGTTGGGTGGAGCTGTGCTGGAAATACCTGATTCAATATAATGATAACACTATAAGTTGTCTAGTGACAACAAAATCAACAAGTGAGTCAGGAAGATGGCATGGGCGTATTAAGTGAAAACATCTGTGGGAATAGGTGTCAAGGTGCCCTAATGTTATCAATTACACCTGTGGTTTTCCTGCTATGACATGCCAAAAATGTCTGCTGTGAAAAGATCTGTTCTGCAGACTGTGGGGGGATGTGCACACTGTGCCCTTGGGCACTTTCCACAGAAATGCTGGAAGTGGGCACAGGTATGTAGGTGGGCTGGGGAGATCAGGTGATGGGGAATGGTGGGAACACAGCGGTTACTGGAGGTCTTAAATGACAAGAAATATTGGACAACAAATTGGCTGACATTGTGACACTCAGAGCCACCCACATTCAATCTGAGAAGAGGTCTAATCAGTCAGAATAACTGAAAACGGCTGTGTGCAAAACCTTTAAAATATTTAGTAATAATATTTATCTGTATGTTTTATTTGATAACAAAGCAGTTATTAATGTTGGTAATCCAGTAATAACTACCTTAAATCTTAAACGCAGGTCTCAATTAGACACCTGGTCTGGATTTTATAGAAATTCTTTGGATTGGATGTATAAAACCTCTTAAAGCCCACTGGGTCGTCCACTTGAGCAAGTTCTAAGCTGATCAGATCGCCTACACAAATATTAATATTTAAACTTGTCAATGTGAATATTGTACACATTGTTAGATCAGTTAGATTCTCCACAATTCAATCGTTCCGTTCATTTTACAGAAACCACAAGCAGCAAAAGTATCAAATGAAAGATTCGTAATTGATATGTTATATTGATACTGGTTTAAATAAACAGTTTGACAGTATTTCCCATCTTTGCTGAGCAAGAGTTTTGGGCAAAAGGAATTAAATGCTTTCCCTTATAGATACCTGTTCCAAATAAAAGCCTGGGCTATTAATTGAAGTTTATTAGTATTATACTCATGGGTTTCTCACTTTCTAAAAAGTCATAAAGTTTGCAAATCTCAGTAAGCCATTAATAAAGGGTTGTGGATTTCCTATAAAAGCCATTAATAAAGTGCTCATATAAGAAGGACGCTTCTTCCTGGTGAAGTTCTTGTTTTAATGACTTACAACTAATCTACAAAGCATTAATAAATAATGTATTAACCATTAATAAAGCATTAGTTACAACTAATAAATAAATAAATTTAGTGGGTATGAATTATTCATAGTGGCCAGTTTCTTTTAATTTTTGCCTGTATTCACAATCAGTTATCTAAAACATAAAAACATTCTTATTTAGCTGAAACAAAAATACATGTGTGGGTTCAATAGCAGAAAGCCTGATGAAGTGAAATCCTACAACATGCACAGACACCAAGATAATACTACAAACAGTCAAACTGGTGCTTTGAATAATAGGAGAGTGGTCACTTAGTATCTGTGTATGCTGTCTAGCTGGGAAAGACGTAGCTCACGCGGACATGCTCGTGCACCGTGTTCATTCATGTACAGTACATTCAGTCCGCGAACGCGCCTGTCTTATTCTGGCAGAATTACGTCATTGCACTGCCCGGGGAGCTGCAGGAACTTGCAACCAAAAAGCCCCCAGCAGGCTGCTGCTCAGTGCATTGTTGTATCATTGTATGCAGGAAAGACACACACTGTGCATAGGCTACATTCCCTCGGCTAGGAGGCTGCAATTTGCAAATAAAGTATTCTGTAGTCTTATTTTGAAGACATTAAAGATACTTATAAAATAGTGCAAGAACTTGAAAATCCCTACTGAGAGTGGCAAAATCCACCCCAAGCCCCTTTATAAGAACATGAGTGCGATTACAGTGAGGAAAGTGCCTTAAAAGAATGTGAACATCGTTATATTACTGAAAAGTCCCAGAAAGAATCCCTATAGGCTACTATAGGAATTGTATAGGATATGGTTTTTTGAATAGACATATCTTAAGCAAACAAAATGGAACCAAATAAAACAAAAAAAAAGTGAGAGAAGGCTACAGGAGGCTTTGTCTTTGCAGTCCGTTATGTGTGGGGGCGGACCACTACAGGCGCGCACAGCACGACGCGCGTATCAGTGCCGGCGCGTCGGGAAATAACCTCATTCTGCATACTGACTGTTATTTAGAAGGTCTTCTCTTCAATTCTGCCGTCGATTTAGAAAAGGTGATACCGGCAGAAGTGTGATCCATAGCTCAAGTACCGCCATGGCTGCGCTGTCGGGAGGAGAGATGTGCATCAAATACCTGATGTTTGCCTTCAACCTGATATTCTGGGTGAGTTTGAAGCGAGGAAATGCAACGATCTCAGAAAAATACACATCCTGTCTGTGTTTAATGTGTGTGTGTGTG